TATTTATTTTTGAGAGAGAGAGAGAGAGAGCTTGAGGGAGAAAGAAAGAGAGAAAGAGAATGAGCAGGGGAGGGGCAGAGAGAGGGAAGAGAAAATCCCAAGCAGGTTCTGTGCTCAGTGCAGAGCCCCACGTGGGGCTCCAACTCACGAACTGTAAGATCATGAGCTGAATTCAAGAGGAACACTCAAACAACTGAGCCACCCAGGCACCCCTCAATTTCCTTTCATGTACTGTAAAACTTGTAACAACTTGGGGGAGGAGGGGGGCACTTCTTGCTGGTACGTTATGTACAACAAAATATTTCTGGAACCAAACTATGGATAAGTAACTTTCTAGGTTAGTCGAATATACTCAAAATATTTCAATGCTGTTTAATACAAATTCACGTATGTGAACAATGAATTCTTCCTAACACTGAAAATCACCACTCTAGGGGCACCTAGGTGGCTCAGTCGGTTAAGTATTTGACTTTGGCTCATGTCATGATCTCACGGTTTTGTGCATTTGAGCCTGGCATTGGGCTCTGCACAGACAGTGCGAAGCCTGTTTGGGATTCTCTCTCTTTCCCTCTCTCTCTGCCCCTCCCCTGCTCACTCTCCCTCTTTCTCAAAATAAATAAATAAAAACTTAAAAGAAAGAAAAAACTCACCACTCTAAAATTATTTGGGGAAGTTAAGAAGTGTTAAAAACAGCTGAGCAGGGAGCCTGGGTGGCTCAGTCGGTTAAGCGTCCAACTTCAGCTCAGATCATGATCTCATAGTTGGTGGGTTCGAGCCCTGCGTCGGGCTCTGTGCTGACAGCTCAGAGCCTGGAGCCTGCTTCAGATTCTGTGTCTCCCTCTTGCTCTGCCCCTATCCCAACTCATGCTCTGTTTCTATCTCAAAAATAAACATTAAAAAAAATAAAAATAAATAGCTGAGCATGCACAAACACAGGTACTTACTGCCTCTCTCTCAGAGCCAACAGCAAACTTCCTTTTGCTGATGATTTTTATGGCTACTTTCTTACATGTTTTCCTCTCAAAAGCTAGCTTCACCTCACCACAGGCACCGCTACGGAGAGAAACATAAAATGATCAATTGTCAGAATGGTTCATCATTCCTGATCTGGGCTTAACTTTAGCCCAGATCAGTTTAGAAGTTAAGCGCTGTCCACATACAACCCTTCCATTGTCCCTGTTTTCAAACCACACAATGAAACTTAACCAATGTAAAATGTCAAGGGCATAAGTGAATGTGGACCATCCAATAGTACTGTGTCAGCTCCAAATTCCACTTTTTGAGCTGAGTGATACAGACTTAAGTATTATTGGCACCCCAGAATGTGAAATCCTCAGAAAGACACTAAGAACAAATAAGACAGGGGCGCCTGGGTGGCGCAGCCGGTTAAGCGTCCGACTTCAGCCAGGTCACGATCTCGCAGTCCGTGAGTTCGAGCCCCGCGTCAGGCTCTGGGCTGATGGCTCAGAGCCTGGAGCCTGTTTCTGATTCTGTGTCTCCCTCTCTCTCTGCCCCTCCCCCGTTCATGCTCTGTCTCTCTCTGTCCCAAAATAAATAAACGTTAAAAAAAAAAAAAAAATTAAAAAAAAAAAAAAAAAGAACAAATAAGACAGAAATTACTTATCCTAGAGGCAGAGAAACATCACTGAGAACAAAGTCCTAAACAAAAATGAGTGCCTGACACAAGTTACAGCAGATAACTGTAACTGTAAATGAATTATTTTCATTGATATGCTCTTTCTTATTCAAAGTGCCATAGTTGATGCCATAAACTGCACCCTAAATAAAATCACAATAACTAACAACAAAAAGTATTATGCGATTACCTTAATTGCAGCAAACTCTTAAAGATTTGCAATTAATTGGGATACTATAATGGAAGAGGAATAATACCCAGGATACAGGTAACCCAATGGACTCTGTTCTCCAAAGCCTGGGTCAGCCCAAGGTAGTGGCTACTCAAGTATCAATCATTCATTACATGCCCCAAGCAGACTATAACTATTGTGAGTTTGGGGTGGGTAGGTAGATTTGTCAAGACACCCTTTTTATTGTGTATTGTATGTATACATAAAAATTACCACTGTTATCATTTTAAAATCTACAATTCAGTGGCATTAAGTACATCCACAATGTTGTGTAACCATCACCCCCATCTAGCTCCAGAATTTTTCATGAGATCAAATGGAAACTCCACCCCCATTCTATCCTTCTCCCAGCTGCTGGGAACCACTAATCTGCTTTCTCAATAGATTTGCCTATTCTGAATATCTCGTATCAATGAAATTACACAATATGTGGCCCTTTGTGTCTGGCTTCTCTCACTCATGTTTTCAAGGTTAGCCCGTGCTGTAGCATGGGTCAATATTTCATTCCTTTTTGTGGCTAAATAATATTCCATTGTATGGATATATCACATTTTGTTTACCTATTTATTTGTGGATGGAGATTTGGGTTGTTTCCACTTTTTGGATACATGCTGTGAACATTCATGCATAAATTTTTACTTAAACACCTATTGTCAACTGGGAGACGGGAATTATATACCTACAAGGGGAATCACGGGTCATAGGGTAATTCTATGCTTAACTTGTTGAGAAACCAAGAACTATTTTCCACAGTGGCTACATCATTTTACATTCCCACCAGTAGTATACAGGGAATCTCATTTCTCTACATCCTCACAAACACTTGCTACTTTCTGTTTCTTTATGATGGAAATCCTAGTGGCTGTGAAGCAGTAACCCTTGTGGTTTTGATTTGCATTTCCCTCATGATAAATGATGCGGAGCATCTTCTTATGTGGTTTTTGGTCATTTGTAGATCTTTGGAGAAGGCTATTTAAATCCTTTGCCCATTTGTAAAGTGGGTTGTTTTTGTTGTTGACTTATAAGAGTTCTTTTTGCTGAATACTAGATCCTTATCAGATAAATGATCTGCAAATATTTTCTCTCATTCCACGGGTTGTGTTTCACTCCCTTGATAGTGTCTTGATGCACTGAAGTTTTTAAATTTGATGAAGTCTAAATTATCTATTTTTCTTTCTTTTGTTGCTTGTGCTTCTGGTGCCATAATTAAGAAACTACTGCCAGGGCACCTGGGTGGCTCAGTCAGTTAAGCGTCCGACCTCGACTCAGGTCATGACCTCACGATTGGTGAGTTCGGGCCCCGCATCGGGCTCTGTGCTGACAGGCCAGAACCTGGAGACTGCTTTGGTGTCTGTATCTCCCTTTCTCTCTCTCTCTTTCTCAAAAATGAATAAACATTAAAAAAAAAAAAAAAAAAAAAAGAAAGAAAAGAAAAGAAACCAATGCCAAACCTAAGGTCCTGAAGAGTTACCTCTGTTTTCTTTTTACAGTTTTATAGCTGTATCTCTTACATTTAGTTTTTTTCCTTTTGAGTTAATTTTTCTATATGGTGTGAGAAAATGGTCCGTTTAACTATTATTGTTTAAAATCTGCTCAAAACACTTTCCAATTCCCCTTCTGATCACAGTCACCTTTTGCCTGAGAAATCTTCCCTGAGTCAATATAGCTCTAATGGAGAGTCTGTAAGAGTACTATGGGATGACATGTAACCAAAATCGAGCCAATCAACGTTTCCCCTGGAATCAAATGTTGATGTTGGGGAAAAGTTCTCTCTGAAGTGGTTTCTACCAGGAAGAAGATATGAATGTGGGGCTTCTGGGAGCCATTCTTCCTGCCACACAGAGAAAACAAATCTATAGGAAGACAACCAGTAGTAGCTAAATCAATACATGGAACCAGTGCCCTGGCAACACTGGAGGAGCCCTTAAATCCAGCCACACATACAGCCACATAGAGCATCAGAATTCAAAGAGTGACATAAAGCCCTAAAGGCCACCTGGTCCAGTCATACCTGAAAACAGCTGTGCCCATGTATCTCCTGCTTACAAGAGCCAATAAATTTCTTTTTTTACCTGACTCAGGTGAGTTAAGTTTCTGTCACCTGATAGAAGATTTGTGTTGAATCCTCCCTTAGAAAAAATAAGAGTCCCATGCATTTCTTAGGGGTGCGCACAAATTTGGCTATAAACTTCCAAGCACCAATGCAATTGTGAAAATACAGTGAGTTACTGAATTTAATATCCATAAACTAAAATATCTCCCACAGATGGCTGCAAAGAGTACACTGTGTTTGATTCTATGTGGCAGGAATATGGGTGATTATTTCCTTCTATTAACTTCTACTTTCATGTTTCCAAAAATGTCAATAGAGAGAAAGGCCTTTGGGAGAGGGGGAAGGGTGGGAGAGTGAAGAACATGGTACAATGTGGTAAAAGTGTCCCTAAGGATGTGGCTCTCAAAGTAGGATTAGGCAACCACTAAGGAACCCCAAGATGCTTTCAGGGTGTCCACAAAGTCAAACTATTTGCAGAGTAACACTAAGACATCATATGCCTTTTTCATCCTCATTCTCTCATGAGGATACAGCGTTTTCCAGAGGCTATGTGGCATGTGACAACAGACTGAACAAGGACGCAAATATCAGGATCTAGCCATTTTCTAGTAAGCCAGATAGCAAAGAGATAGGCAAAAATGTGAAACAGCGCCTCTCTTCTCACTAATCTTTAGTTAAACAATTATTCTGCATTAAAAACATTATTTGGGGGCACCTGGGTGGCTTAGTCAGTGAAGCATCCAACTTTGGCTCAGGTCATGATATCGCAGTTCATGAATCCGAGTCCCACGTCTGGCTCTGTGCTGACAGCTCAGAGCCTGCAGCCAGCCTGCTTCTGATTCTGTGTCTCCGGCTCTCTGCCCCTCCCCCACTCGTGCTCTGTCTCTGTCTCTCTCCCTCTCTCTCAAAAAAATAAACATTTAAAAATTTTAAGTTTTAGGTTAAGTTATCTTAACCTAAATTGGGTTCTTTAATGCATTAACAAATATTATAAATGTCTCCATTTGAATTTCTAATATAGCAAATATCAACAGATATCAGCCACAAAAGCTCTTGGATGCCCTCAGTAATTTTTAAGAATGTAAGGGGTCCTGAAACCAAAAATTTTGAGAACTTTGCCATATTCAGTGGTCAGTTTCATTTCAGTTCCCGAGATGTCACAAATTCTGAAGAAGGCAGAAATGCAGTAAATGTTTCTTTTTAGAAGGTAATGAAAATGTTTCACAACTCTGTGAATGTTAAAAATCACTAAATTGTAGGAGTGCCTGGGATGCTCAGTTAGTTAAGCGTCCAACTTCAGCTCAGGTCACGATCTCACTGTTCGTGGGTTCAAGCCCCACGTCGAGCTCTGTGCTGACAGCTCAGAGCCTGGAACCTGCTTCGGATTCTGTGTCTCCCTCTCTCTCTGCCCCTCACCCACTCATGTTCTGTCTCTCTCTCTCAAAAATAAACATTAAAAAGAAAATTTTTAATAAAAAATAATAAGCATTAAAAAATTAAAAATCACTAAACTGTACACTTTCCATGTGTGAATTTTATGGTATGTGAGTAACAACTTTTTTTTAAATGTTATTATTTATTCATTTTTAAGTAACCTCTACACCCAACATGGGGCTCGAACTCACAACCCTGAGATCAAGAGTCGCAGGCTCTTCCAACTGAGATTAAGAATCGCTCTTCTGAGTAAAAGCCAGGCGCCCCTGTGAATACCAACTTTTTTAAAGCCACTTTATTGAGCTATCAAAGATAAAATGTATAAGGAAAACTCTTCATTTCAACTGATGATAGTCAAGTAAATGAATAACATGCCTATCACAAATAGGTGTCCTACAAATATAAATGTTATAAACCAGGAACAAGAACCTAATCAATGACAAATGTTTAGAAAAAAAATGAACTGCAATTTCTGTAACAACAAAAAAACAATTTACCTTCCGAGAGTTTTTGACATGATGTATTCGTCTCTTAATTCCTTAGGATAAACTGACTGATCATCTACAGTCAGGTCAAAAAATACAAAAACTAAGGGGGAAAGGGCAGAAATAGGTCTCATTAATTCATTCGATAAAGATAAAATGGTCCTAAAATTTAGTAAACATATGGAATATAAGACAACTGTTTTCAATTACATTTAACACCTAACCCTAAAGGAATTGGTTAGCCAGTTTAACCCCTGTTATGAAACCCAGAGAAACCCATGGACAATGACAGTCAAATCTCATTCTTCAATAGAAATACACAACATCATCTCACGTTAGTGCAGGAAATCCATACATATATGCTAATCTTATTCCTCAGTCTCAGAGTATTAGTCAACTGCAACTAATATAAAACACCCATGCAGATTAGCATAAACCCAGAACCAAAAAGCAATCAGTTTGAGCATAGAAAAAAATGTTCTAGACATATAAACATCCCAAAAAAATTAGACCATAGGTCATCACACTAGTATTATTTCTCTTTGCCATTCATAGACCTTTACATGTCTGGCATTTTATAGTGCAAACCATCTTGAACCTGCTTGTAAAGTTAAATAAATAGCATTTCCCCCCAAATCCCCTTTTTCTCCATTATTTGGGTTGTATTCCAGAAAAAGAAAAAAAATAACCCCACTCATTTAAAAATTTAACCATCCACGTGAACCAAGGCTGCAATCAATTATCAACATTTCAATTCTACAAAATCAATAGTAAATTTGCAACTGCCTGCAATATCTTGAAACAGTAAAATGTGTTAAGACCCTTGAGTTTCTCAGATTTCAGGCAACAGGTTTTGACCTCCCTGGAGTAACCAAGAGTTCTAGTCTCTGGCACAAATCTGAGCCACCTGAGTGTGCTTCATTCCAGGCTGGTCTACACAAGACAGACACTTGCATAGTGAAGGAAACCTTCCAGCAAACCAACAGTTTCTCTGTGTTTATGGATATTTACGAACCTAGATGTTCCAGTGGCATCTGAGAATCTGGGAATTTGAGGGGCTCTGGAGGGCTACATCTCACAGATGTCAAGGTCTACTTCAAGAGCTACAAATTCAGTTGTCCATACAAGCCAAGGTCATGTACACAGGGAAGGCTGGGTTGAAGGTGGGACAACGTGGAGCAATGAGGACTTGAATGGGGAGAACATGCCGTCCATCTAAACCAGGAAGGCTCTACTGAGCACTGGCAAATCCTCCAGTTATGGAATTATAGGCTCAGTATGGCCAGGCAGTGCACCTTTTTCAAAGCAATCTAGATTTTGACGTTAAAGTACAAATAACAAATGCCTAATAAAATGTCAATAAACTGAATGCCATCTGCAGAGTGCCAGTCTGATCTATTTCAATTAAGGCCACCTTTAGCCCATATAACACATCTGTTCAGAACAGAACAGTTGCCCCGTAGATGGACCAACTACGAAAAGGTGGCACACAGCTGGTCAAGTAAGACAGGCCAAATTTCAGCATTCAGATGTCGCCTGCGCCAGGTGTTCTCAAACAGCAAAACCCTATGCAGCTGCCCTGACTATAATTATCAGATTGAAAACAAAATAGTCAGAAATAGGGAAAACTGTCATAAAATGCATTTTAGGATGCCCAGCGTGGCCATCGTTCCCAGATGCCAGGCTGAAGACTGACTGCCTAAGAATCACCTAAGCAAGATTTTTTAATTTTTTTTTTTAACATTTATTTATTTTTGAGACAGAGAGAGACAGAGCATGAACGGGGGAGGGTCAAAGAGAGAGGGAGACACAGAATCCAAAACAGGCTCCAGGCTCCGAGCAGTCAGCACAGAGCCCGACGCGGGGCTCGAACTCACGGACAGTGAGATCGTGACCTGAGCCGAAGTCGGACGCTTAACCGACTGAGCCACCCAGGCGCCCCTAAGCAAGATTTTTTAAATCCCTGGACCTACTAGACCAGGATCTGTGGGACAGCGTTTGTGAGCATCTAGTTTTTTTTTAAGTTTATTTATTTTGAGAGAGGGAGAGAGCACACACACATGAGTGGGGGAGAGGCAGAGAGAGAGGGAGAGAGAATCCCAAGCAGGCTCTCCACACTGTCAGCACAGATCCCAGAGTGGGGCTTGAACGCACAAACCAAGAGATCATGACCCGAGTCAAAGTAGGACATTTAACCACTGAGCCACCCAGGCACCCCATGGAGATCTATTATTATTTTTTTTTTTTCAACGTTTATTTATTTTTGGGACAGAGAGAGACAGAGCATGAACGGGGGAGGGGCAGAGAGAGAGGGAGACACAGAATCAGAAACAGGCTCCAGGCTCTGAGCCATCAGCCCAGAGCCTGACGCGGGGCTCGAACTCACAGACGGTGAGATCGTGACCTGGCTGAAGTCGGACGCTTAACCGACTGCGCCACCCAGGCGCCCCGGAGATCTATTATTTTTAAGTTATTACCCACACACACTCCCTTCCCATTCATTCAACCCTCAGATAGTTTTGTGAAATTCTGCGGGTTTGTTTTTAATCAAAGAAACAAAAGTATTCCTTTTGTCCAAGGATTTAAAATCACTGTGAGATTACATGTAACTCTTTAGGTTGCTTTAATTCCTTCTGTGCTGAATGACAGCTGTTCATTTTAGATGTGATATTAGTAAAGTTTTAGGAACGGCTGCTTATAAAATGCTGCCTGATGATGACAATAAACATCAAAACTTTCAGACAATCACCAAGTGGTATCTAAGAAAATAGACAGTTGGGGTTTTTTTTTAATGTTTATTTATTTTGAGAGAGAGAGAGAGAGCGCGCGCACATGTGTGCACAAAGGGGAGGGGCAGAAAGGGAGAGAGAGAATCCCATGGGGCTCAATCTCATGAACTGTGAGACAATGATCTGAGACAAAATGAAAAGTTGACACTCAACTGACTGAGCCACCCAGGTGCCCCAAGAAGGAAGAAGGTTTAAACTGAGATTCTTACAGAAAAAACCTAATGCCTGGCATATAAACAAACTTCAATAAATATATGTGCAATTAATGAATGGAAGGAACGAAAGGGAAGAATGAGAAAGGAAGGGAAGAAGGAAAGAGGGAGGGAGGGAGAAGAATTAATGGTCTAAAACAACAACTCACTGACATCTAAGACTGATGTGGTACAAACTGGATCAATCAATGAACAATGAAACATCTTAAGCAATATCATCCCATTGACAGCATATAGCCTTAAATAAAACCTATCACAGCAGTTAAACTTTAGAAATTCAATCTTGATAGAAATCTTTCCTAATTTAAGGATGCACCCAGGACTGAGTTGAATCCTGAATACTAACCGTATTACTTTACGTAACTAAACCATACTCGGCAAAGGGCATAATGTCGATCTTCCCTTTACAGGAGAGGAAAAAAAGATTCAGTAACCAGAAGATAGTAATGTTACCTTTATTACTCCACACTGAAAGTGCAATTTCAGAATTGTTACTCAAAGGAAGGCGTCTTCCTTTCCCTACAAGCTCTCTATTTACAAAGGTTCCATTCCCACTGTGATCTTCTATGTATGCGATGTAAGAGTTTTTGGGACCCATTTCCTAAAACAGAGAACATTTTATTTCAAAGTTTTAACAGTGGGGAGTGACAGTACTAAGATATCTCACGGTGAAGGACTAGATTACCAATTTTCCCAAACATATGGATTTCTGTCACCTACTCTGAAAATCCGAAAGTGTTTCTTGCTGTAAGTCCGGTATTTATCCGTTCTTTTCAGCAGTGGCTCATCAAAGCAGTATTCGCAGCTCCTATCTCTCCCAAACCAGTAGCTGTCATTAACACACTCTGTAACACAAAAGTATACACCGGAGTGCTGTCGAATTTCATGCATCAAACACCTTTAAAAACTGCTTGTAAAATGTAATTAGAGGAAAATAACCTAAGAAAGCAATCAAGCTTACAGATACCTTTATCAAAACGATATAGGAATAAAAATGAGGGAGGAGGAAAAGAACAATTTTCCAATGAGTTCAATAAATCGTGACTTATACATACCTATGAAATAACAAGCCATCATTAAAAGTTCTCAAGCAATTATTAATGATTTCAAAAAACACTTAAAATCGAGTAACTTCCTACTCATGACCCTCCTGAGGCTTCCCATCTTCCTTACTATAAAATGTGCACTCCTCCCCATGGCAGGCTAGATGCTCAGGATCCAGCCCCTGCTTCCCTCCCAGCCTCACCTTGCACCGCTCCCCTTGATCACTCTACTTAGTCCCTCTGGTGGCTTCCATTGCCCCATGTCGGGTTCAACCCCCACCTTGTGGCCTTTGCATTCTCTGTTCAAACACAGCTACTGCACAGTCATCTTGCTTTGTGTCTAGACTCAAACTGTCATCTTCCACTCAGCTTTCTGTATCAGCAGACTCCTACCTCGTCATCCATTATCATGACATCCCGTTTTGTCTCCCTCTAAGTATGGACCATAATTGGAAGTTATCTTGATTATTTATATATTGTCTCCCCACACACCCATTTATTTTTTTTTTTATTTTTTTTTCAACGTTTATTTATTTTTGGGACAGAGAGAGACAGAGCATGAACGGGGGAGGGGCAGAGAGAGAGGGAGACACAGAATCGGAAACAGGCTCCAGGCTCTGAGCCATCAGCCCAGAGCCCGACGCGGGGCTCGAACTCACGGACCGCGAGATCGTGACCTGGCTGAAGTCGGACGCTTAACCGACTGCGCCACCCAGGCGCCCCATCCCCACACACCCCTTTTAGAACAAACTCCAGGAGGGCAGCCTTGGGTCTCCTGTGTTTTAGTTCCAGCACCAAGGACAGTGAATATAGTAGGCAAGTAAATGTTGATACAGACAGACCAGGCAAAATGTTAGCACCTCATATCACAAAGTACTAATTTCCCTAATATATGTCAAGTTCCTACAAATAAAAACAGACAAACAATCCAGTAAAAAATGGGTAAAGGATATGAAGGGACAATTTACAAGAGACAGAAATACAAATGGCTCAAACATATGAAAAAATGGCCGAGGTAAAAAAAAAAATTTTTTTAATTTAAAAACCAGGGGAACCTGGTAGAACACGCAACTCTTTTTTTTTCCTTTTTTAATGTTTACTTTTTGAGAGAGCAAGAGACGGAGCGCAAGCAGAGTAGGGACAGAGAGAGAGGGAGACACAGAATCCGAAGCAGGCTCCAAGCTCCAAGCTGTCAGCACAGAGCCCGACAAGGGGCTCAAACTCATGAACCGTGAGATCATGACCTGAGCTGAAGTTGGATACTTAACCGACTAAACCACCCAGGCACCCCATAGAGCATGCAACTTTTGATCTTGGGATTGTGAGTTCGAGCACCACGTTAGGTGTAGAGACTACTTAAAAATAAAATATTTTTTAAAAATGAAATTTAAAAAATGCATAAACATGTACACATTTAAAAAAAAGAAATTTTAGGGGTGCCTGGGTGGCGCAGTCGGTTAAGCGTCCGACTTCAGCCAGGTCACGATCTCGCGGTCCGGGAGTTCGAGCCCCGCGTCAGGCTCTGGGCTGATGGCTCAGGGCCTGGAGCCTGTTTCTGATTCTGTGTCTCCCTCTCTCTCTGCCCCTCCCCCGTTCATGCTCTGTCTCTCTCTGTCCCAAAAATAAATAAACATTGAAAAAAAAACATTAAAAAAAAAAAGAAATTTTAAATTTTAATTTTAATTTAATACATTACAATTTCATATTTCAGGGTGCCTGGGTAGCTCAACTGGTTAAGTGTCTGACTCTTGATTTTGGCTCAAGGTTATGATCTCACGGGTCATGAGTTCGGGCCCTGCGTCAGGCTCTGCACTAACAGCTTGGAGCCTGCTTGGGATTCTGTGTGTGTGTGTGTGTCTCTCTCTGCCCCTCCCCTACTCACTCCTCTGTCTCTCTGTCTCTGTCTCTCAAAAGAAATTAAACATTAAAAAAAATGTTTTTAAACAATTGTGGTACTTACATATAATGGAATATATATATGTAGATATATATATGCATTTTTTTTTAAGTAGGCTCCACACCTGATGTGGAGCTTGAACTCATGACCCTGAGATCAAGAGTCTCATGCTGTACTGACTGAGTTAACCAGGTGCCCCTATCATGGAATATTATTCAGCCATAAAAAATAAACGCTACAACCCATACATGCCACAACATGTATAAACCTTGAAAACATTAGAAGAAGCCAGACACAAAAAAACCATGAGTTGTATGATTACATTTATATGGAATATCCAGAATACTTTAATCCATAGAAATGAAATACAGATTACTGGTTGCCAGGGGCAGGAGGAGAGACAAAAGGGAAGTGACTGCTTAACAGGTGCAGGGTTTTATTTTGGAGTAACAGAAGTGTTTCAGAACTAGACAAAGGTTGTGATGGCACTGAACTGTTCACTTTAAAATGGTTAATCTGGGGCCCCTGGCTGGCTCAGTCAGAAGAGCATGCAATTCTTGATTGTAGGATCACGAGTTTGAGCCCCACTCTGGGTGCAGAGATTAATTAAATAAAGAGACTCAGAAAAAAAAAAGAAAGAACAATAAAGTGGTTAATTTTATGTCATGTGCATTTCACTGTGAGGTTTTTATTTTTTAGGTTTATTTATTTTGAGAGAGAGAGAGAGAGCACACATACTTACAAACTGTGAGATCATAACCTGAGCTGAAATCAAGACTCGGACACTTACCTACCGAGCCACCCAGGCACCCCACACGTCAATTTCTAAAAATTACATAGACACACATAACTGGCCCAGAAATCCCACTTCTAGGAATTTATCCTATGGATAGAGGCATATGTATTATGAAACGATATAAGGACAAAACTAAAAAGTTATTCACTATAGCATTATTCTTACAGCAAAAGATTACAAACATCTTAAATCTCCATTAGTAAGGGATAACTTCAAACAAACTTACATCTATAAAAAGGAATGAGAATCTTTACATTCTGAGATAAGGATATCTAAGATACAATGCTGAGTATTAAACGCCAGTTGCAAGCAATGTGTTGTGAATTATAATTAATCTAAAAAGAAAAGGAAAATAAGAATATACAGGCACTTAGCAATATGGCATCATCCATTACAAAGTAAAGCCATGCCGACTCAAAGACCCAGCAATTCAACTCAGTCTCTACCCCACAGACACATCTGCCAATTGACCAAGGAGACAACCACAAAGATGTTCAAGGAGTCTTGCTTACAGGAACAAAAACTGGAAACAACCTAAGTATCTGTTAATAGGGGAAGGAATAAATGAACCATGGTATTTCTACTAGAAATGCAGAACTTCTGCACCAGCTGGGACAAGGAAGGGCATGGAGAATTCATCAGGACACTAACAGTCCAAGGATGGTGGACAGAGACTGTAAGAAGTGGGCCCCTACAAAAGGGTCTGTTCTGACCTTTGCTGATCAGGAGAGCCCCCAGGCAGAAGTGTGGAGGAGGGCAGGGAGAACAAGGGAGGAGGCAAGGGGACCAGAAGTTCTCAGAAAGGCAATGAGAGGTATGAATCCAGGGAAGGATGGGTCCATATTCCCAGTAGGGAAGGGGTGCAGGTGAGAAGGTGTGTAGAGAGAGCAACAGATACACTGGTTTTGGCAAGTGAACTGAAAATTAGGTAAGTTAAAAAAAAAGAATGAAAGAAAGAAAAAGAAAATTTAGGTAAGCAATTTTCTTTTAGGGATTCTAGACCTCTCTGAAGTTCGAATTCACTGTCCTCCCTCTCAAAGGATCCTATATCACAGACAAAAAAATTAAAATCATATGGGATAAGTTAACCCATCTCTCCCTTTGATCCCCATTCAGCTCTGACCTTTGGCCTATCATCTTCACCTTTGCTTTAACATCCCCCCCCCTCCGCTGCCCCATTTTACAGATGAGGATGGTGAGGCTCAGAGAGGTAGCATCACTTGCCTGAGGTCACACAGCTAGATGGTGACAGAGCTAGGACTTGAACCCATGTCTTTCTGACTACAGCACCCTCCCTCTTTCCCAGCTCCAGCCCTTAAGCTACACTCTCACCCTTATTTTCTTCCTACTCAAGCATTTTTAATCTCTTCCTCTACCAGTTTCTCTCACGCTCATTTCAAACAGGAACAAGCCTCCCTTGGGCTCCACACTCCCCTTTGGTTGCTAACTTTCATCACGTTTCTTACAGCATACTTACTTCTTTCTCAATGACAGGTTAAGGGCATAGGTTTAAAGTTGAAAAGTTGTAGGATCAAATCCTGCCTCTACCAACTCTGGGCTATATGACTGTAGACAAGTTAATCAATCAAGTGAGGCTTAGAGCCTCAGTTTGCTCTTCTGTAAAATGGAGGTAAGAATAAAAATAGTCTCTCATTAGATTATTTTGAAATTTAAATAAAATAGTCCCAACACTTCACCCAACAAAAAGAAAACATACATTCTTCTCAAATGCTTATGAAAAATATTCTCCAAGATAGAACATAAGCTAGAGCGAGAAACCTACTCCATGAACATAAAAGAACAGAAATCACACAAAGTATGTTCTCTAATAACAATGTAATGAAATTAGAGCTCAAAAACACAAAGAAATTTAGTAAATTCCCAGTTAAGCAGAATTAACTAAAAAAACCAAAGGGACAAAGAAAAAAATTCATTAAGGAAAATTAAGAAATACTTTGAAATGAATGACATGAGAAAACAACATACCAAAACTTATGGGATGCAGCTTAAACATTTCTTAGGGAAATTTACTGTTGTTAATGTCTAAGTTACAAAATAAAGATTTTATGTCAATAACCTAACCTTCCTTAAGATGTTGAAAAAGAGAAG